GCCGAAGGCTGCGCTCGGGTGGTCCCCCGGCACCCGCTGCCCATGGTGGCCCGCGTCTCCAAGGTGAACATCCTGCCCTTCGGCAGCCCCGGCGGGTCACGCAGCAGCAGTCGCTATTCCAGCACGGAGACGCTGAAGGAAGAGGAGCAGTTTGGAGTCTGCTGGCCCGGCCAAGGACGGGCTCTCCAGGCGGGTTACGGTATCTATCGATCGCCCAGTTTTGGGGCCAGCGATGGCCTGGCCTGGGGACAGCCGGGCATCCGCGTCCGGCCCAAGCTGCCCCAGAGCGTGGCCAAGGCAAAACCGGACTATGGGAGCGAGAGCCTGCACCAGCCGGGGCTGGAAGGGGAGCGGGCCAAGCACCGCAAGTCCTTGTCCAACCCCGACATCGCCACCGAGACCCTGACTCTGCTCAGCTTCCTCAAATCGGACCTCTCAGAGCTGAAGGTGAAGAAGAAGGGGGTGAGGATCGGCCTTGACGTGGGCTCTGATGGATGCTCCAGCGGTGCCAGCCCTTCCCCAGGCGGCTGCGGTGCCGCTCATCCCCAAACCCGCTGGGCGCCGGGCGAGCGGCCAACGCTCAAGGACCTGACGGCCACTTTGCGTCGCGCCAAGTCCTTCACCTGCTCCGAAAAATCCGGGACACGGCGGCTCTTCCTGCAGAGCACCATGAAGCAGAGCTCCTCCGAGCTCCTCCTGGCCTCTACGGACAGCCAGGACCGGGTGGCTCCAGGTGGGGGACAGCAGGGCGACGAGGATCCTCTCCCCATGGTCATCCAGGACCAGTACATCCAGGAGGCAAGGCAGGTGTTTGAGAAGATCAGCAGGATGGGTTCCCAGCAGGACTACGGCTTTGCCGCCGAGCAGAAGGACAGCGGAGGTGTGGAGGGCGCTGAGGTGGTGGCACCGACGACGGGGACGACGGACACGACCCTTCGGGGACAGGTGGAGAGCACGCGGTGTTTGAAGGACGTGGAGCTGGAGGAGAACCTCCCTCACAGTAAATCCGTGGAGGAGCTGTCGGGTCACGAGTCGAGCGTGACGGACGAGGGCATCGTCACGGAGCCGGAGCCCGTGGGGATGCCCTTCCAAGGCCTGCACGAGGCTGTGGACGCCTGGATGCTGCCCAGTGCCGGGCCGGCAGCGGGCGGCTCTGAAACGCCGCTGCCCGCTCACCCAGTGGCGGTGGCTGAAGACCTTCCAGCTGGCAAAGCCGAGACGCCCAGCACCCCTGGCAGCCTGCGGCGCCGACGTAAGTTCCCGTCAGCGGGCGCCAATGGGATGGAGGGCGGCAGCGAGGGTGGCACCGAGCCCTACCGCTCCCTCAGCGACCCCATGCCTCACCGGAGGCGCTCGGTGGCAGAGGAGGCCAAGAATTTCTCTGTGGACAGCAACCTGCTGGGCTCGCTGAGTGCCAAGGCGGGCATCCCCCAGCCGGCCGCCATCGCGGGCAGCGCGGGCAGCGCGGGCAGCGACCTGTCCCTGGGCAGCGATGGGCCCCGCGACTACAGCAGCCTCATCCGCACCATCGTCAGCCAGCCCGGCGCCATGGCCAAGCTGGGCGACGACAAGGCCAACGGCAAGACCATCAAGAAGAAGTCGCTGAGCGACCCCAGCCGCCGTGGCGAGCTGGCACCCGGCGCCTTCGAGGGTCCCGGTGAGGCCATCAGCGAGCTGGAGGCCAGCATTCCCCCGTCCAGCAGCGAGCCCATCCTCTCCGCCCAGCCCGCGGCACCGGGCGCCGGCCGCGGCTACGGCTTCGACCCCAAGCTGGCTGAGGTGCTGTCCCCTCGCGTGGCCCGCCGCAGCTCCAAGAAGCGCTCCAACCGCGCCGCTCACCAGGAGAACCAGCCGCCCCCCGCGCCCGCCGTCCTCGCCAAGGGCCGCCCGGCCGCCAAGCACGTGCGGCACACCAGCGAGCCCGCCACCTTCGTCCCCATCGCCGTCCCCGAGCCGCTCGTCCCCTCCGGCCACCACGGCCACCACCTCCCTGCGCCGGCCGCCGGCCGCTCGCCCGGGAAATCCTTGCCGAGCCTGCAGCCTCCTTCGCTGGAGGATGTCACCAAGCGGTACATGCTGGCCCTCAACTCAGGTGACACGTCCCCCGCTGCCGGGGATGGCCCCCGCTCGCCGCCCGCTGCCCCACCGCCCCGGCTGCCCCGCTGCTCGCGGCTGCCCGACGAACACGGCCCCAGGAGCAAGCCGCAGGTGGTAAGTGCCCATCCATCCTAAAAGCACCTTTGTTTCATGGGGTGCGCCACCCAGCCAGAGCACTGGTGGCCTTGGGGTCTGTCACGTGTCCCTTGTGGCGGATGGACAAATTCCCATCTGCAGAGGCACTGCTGGATGGCCCAGAGCCCTCCCAGCCCTTTCTGCTGCTCCCCAGGGGATGAGCTCTTGTTTGTTGGGGCAACCTCCCTGGTGAAAAGGTGACTTTTGGATGGGAAAAAGCAGTTTTCAGGTTAAACAGCACCACGTTTTGGTGGAAGAGGGTTTTAGAAATGTATTATGTTTATGTATAAAATTTCTCAGTGGTGCTACCTAAGGTACTGATAAATATGGACCATCACTGAGATGCTGAACCAAAAATTGCCTTTTCCTTGGCTGGGAAGGCTGAGCAACAATTCTTCTGCATGGGAATCCAAATGCTACGCCCCTAATTGAGCAAAACTGCATTTTCCCCCCCCAAAAACACCATCCCTCTACTTGGGATCATGAGCATTGCCATGCTGGTGCGTAGGAAAAAAGGGGAAAAATATTTTTGTGCGTGCACTGAATATTTGATTGATAGGTGAAAGTTTGATCCTCTCTGGGGAGGAATTGGCGCAGTCTGGGGGATGTGGAGGTGCTCTGCTCACCCTGGAGCACAGCTGCGTGCTTTGGGATCTCTCCTGGGATGGGTTTTTGGCATCGCTGGCCCCTTGGCTGAAGGTAGCCTTGGGTTCCCATCACACGGGGTGTTTGTGCCGGGAAGGGCTTGGAAGCATCACCTCCTGCTGCGGCACGGCAGTGCCAGCACCCACGGGGCTTTTAATAGCTCTGGGAGAAGCCCAGAAATACCCATTCCCGTGGGGGATCTGCCGAGAGCTCGCAGGAATGACGCTGCCAGGGCTCTCTCCCGTGCTCCAAACCGATTTCAGAGGATGGGCTGGACCATTCCCTTCCAGCAGCAGCCAAGCGCGAAGTCCTCAGGGCTGAGCCTGGCGGTGTAACCCTTGCTGGCCAGGGCAGAGCCGTGTGGAGAGAGGCTGCTTTTCTTTGGATCCTCCCAAAACCCCTCAGCATCTTCCTCCCAGCGTGTTCTCTTGGGATCTGGCATCCTCCTCACAGGATATTCTCGTGGGATCCAGCAGCCCTGCAGCAGCATTGCTCCCAGGAGGTTCTCCTGGAGTCTGGCATCCCCACAGCATCATTCCCTCAGGTTATTCTCTTGGAATCCGTAATCCCTGCAGCAACATTCCCCTCAAAATATTCTCCAGGGATTTCTGCTCCCCATCCAGCTCCTTCTCCTGCCAGACAGCAACCGTGGGTGGCTGAGAACAGGATGGCCACTCTTGGCCACTGTGTGAAACATCCTCGAGGATGTTTTGGGTGAGTTTTTGGGCAGAATTTTTTGCCTGATGGACCAGTTTTCTGTCTTCTCCCATTGTGGGCTGAAAAGTGCTATGAAACCATCGAGCATTATAATTAAAATGGGTTAATGAGGAACCTCCTGGAGCTTTGGCTGCTGCCCTGGGGACATTGGCAGGTCCCCAAGATGAGGCTGTGGCACCTAGTGGCATTTCTAAATAATTAATATGTTTAGTTTATATAATATATGGTTTATCTCAATAATTTATAGAGAGATATTTCTTACTCAGGCAGGTCTCTGTGGTGTCCTGGGGCTGGGACATGATGGCCCCAATATCAGGGATGCTCTGCTGACCCCACACCCCAACACACCAACAAAGCTGGTCTGATCCCAGCTTTGGGATGATTTTGGGTGGATTTTTACCAGCTGGGAGCCCTGTTTGGAAAGCATGTCCCCAGGTGGATAGGCCACCCTGTGGAGCAGACCCTGGGGATGCTGCTCCTCACCTTGCCTGAACCCTCCGGCCCCGGGGAACAGGGTGCGAATTTTCCCTTTTAAGGGCAACACCACAGCTGTATCTTCAAATCTCTCCCCTGCCCTGGGATTTCTTTCTGCTCCAGCCATATCCTAACTGAAACCAGGATTTTTATTTCTCCTTTTGATTTATTAGATGGTGGAGCTGGGATGTTTTATTTCAGATGGCAATCAGCTTTGCCTGGGGGGGGGTCAAGGGGGTTGCTTTAATCCTAAGTGAGAGCACCAAGGACCGGATATAACTTGGCACTGGGATGGTTGGCTTGGATCATGGATTTATCCCTGACCAGCAGAGAAGAAATCTCCTTTATTTTTTACTTTTACATTCTTTTCCCCTCCCTAACTCAATGGGAAGGGCCAGCGTTGCAAGGTAGTGAGTCTGTATGGGGAAATGGCCACATCCACTCAGGAATTTTGTGGGATGGGAGCATCCATCTCCTATCATGCTGGTGATGGTGAGATGGTGCCCATCTCCAGCAGAATGTACTGGGTAGGGATTCATAATGGGATCTGGCACCTCTGGGGTGATGCTCCCTTAAAATATCCTCTCCCAAAATCTTTCACCTCAAGGTATTCCCTCGGGGTTGAGCATCCCTGCAGCACCATTCCCCCAGGATATTTTCCTAGCTCCATGGTTTGGTAGTGGCTTTTGCAGAGGTGCATCTGGCACATCCCACCCAGAGAGGCAATGGTGTGTTCTCCCTCAGGGGCAGCACTGTTTGTACTGGGTGCTTTCCAGCAATTCTCCATGGGGCTGGAGCCATCCAGTTCATCCTGGGGGCAGAACTCCTTCACCCTGTGCCTGATGATGGGCACCAGGCTTTTAATTCCTTGGGGGTTGTTAGCTGCACATCCCACTCTGGTGGATCTGGAGAATAAAACCCCAAAACTCAAGATAAAGACTTTTCCCTTCTTCCAGCATCCCAAAAGCTGCTGGAATGGGCAGCACAATGTGTGTGCACCTAGCCTAGCAGCAAGCCAGGATGCATTTAGGACACTTTTGGGATGGATTTGGGGTCCACTTGCTGCTCGGGATGCCAGACTGGCAACCCCTCGGATCTCTGTTCCCCCCACGGCCGAATCCATCTGAGGTATGCTCGCTGTCCTGCTGTGTTTGTTGACCTAGCAGCGCTTGGATTAAACAGGAAAATATTGATTTAAATATAGCACCTCTGGGGAGCAGGGCAGTCGTGGGAA